CAATCATCTCCAGTCCAGGGATCCGATGCCCACTACTCGCCCTCTCAGGCACAATGCATGATGTGAAGGACAGACATGCATGCAAGCAAAATGCCCACACACATAAAAATAAGATAAACTTAAAATAAAAACTAAATTTAAAATGAGAAAAAATTATTTGAACTGCACTATCATTACCTATCCCGTGCATGTTAAATATCAACCTTTTCTCCTAAATTCAGAAAGAAGCTGAAATACAAATAATATCAGTGTAAAGGAAAACCAAATGTAGCTCCTGTCTGTACAAAGCTCCTTCCCGCACTCCCCACCCCCCCACACACAAAAAAAATGTGCTTAGATACAAGCCTCAAACTGCTCATTTCAATTCTTTCCCAAACAGCAAATGCCCCCTGGTGGCCATCTGGCATGACTGCAACAAAGAAGAAAGGTGTCTGCTGTTACTTTGTAAAGTCAGCATAAGGCAAGGATGACAGGAAACCACCAAAGCAAAGCTTGGTACTTAAGATGGAGCACTTCATAAGGTTTAGACTTTAGTTGGGTTTTTGGTGGTGGTGGTGGGTCTTTTTGTTTCTTGTTTTTGTTGTTGTTAATTTTTTGTCTATTTTCTGAATAGTAAAACTATTAACTACTGAGCCAGTCTTCATTCCCTTATATTTTAAAGTCTGGAATGTAACTTTTAAAAAAAAGACAATCTCATTCTTGTCGTGTAGTCTTGGGTGGAAAGCTATTCCCTATGCAGTGGCTCCAAAATTTACATTCTGGTGCAGTGTGTAAGCTCCTGGTTTTTTATCCATCACCCACTAGGTACCTGCCTAAAGAAAAATCAAAAAAAAAAAAGTCCAAATGGAGAGTGTGCACTTAAATCAGTTAACAGTTCTTTTTCGTGTTTCTCAGTCATATTTTTTTTAGTTTTGTGTGTGTGTGTGTGTGTGTTCATCTCTGTTATTGTAGCAAGAACATAAAATCTACCCTCAACAAATTTTAAGCCTATGCTACTTACTGTTAACTATGCCATAACTGTAGCTATTGTAACAGTGTTGTAACAAAGTCCTGATCTTGCGAAACTGAATCTAACAGCAACTTCCCATTTCTTGGCCAGCACCACCAGTGCCGAGAAGCCATTACACATTATGCTGCCACCATCCTGACAGCTTTAGATATGGAATGTAACCGGAGTGTCACCAAGACACCCTTCTCCCTTCTGTGTGTTGTAGGCCCATGCGATTGTGCCTGTGAATGACACACCTGACACAGTGTGCATAGACAGGTCAGGGGGCTACTGTCAGGTGTCAGTCTTTTGACATCTATTGTTAGGGATAGTCTGTCTGCCTTTTGGCTGTGTTCACCAGGGTACCTGGGCCAAGAGTATGCGGAGACTCTGTGTCTCCCCCTTCCAACCTCCATCCCCCAAACACAGGAGTACCCAGATTACAGATGCTCACAGTACAAGTCCTGTTTTCACATCAAGTGTTTTTGCCACTCAGCCATCTCCTCGGCCACATTTCCTTCCTTTGTATAACACTGTGACTAATATTCCATTATACGGATACACCACATTTTCTTTACCTACACAGACACGTAAGCTATTCCACCAGTAAGTAATTCCAGTTACTGGCGATAATGCTGCAAAGAACATGGCAGATCAAAGCTCCCTTCCGTACCCTGATTTCACTGTGGTAAATCAACCCTTATTGGGAATAAGGCTTGCAGGCAGTCCCTTCATCCCACAGACCACCTGTCATGCTACTGACTGTCCCTCCTTGCTAAGCAGAAAAATTGGGGCTTCATAGAGTCCCACTTGTCGAGTTTTGCTTGCAACATGCTTCTGGTATCCATGTAAGAAATCACAGACAACGACAAAGCCATGCAGCTTTATCTCCCCTTCTGTCTCCTCCGGAGTTTTTTCAGCTTTGAGTCTTATTTTCATTCATTTTGAGTTGTTTTCTGTGTATGAGGTGAGAGGAAGGCTCGGGCTCACGTCACCCACAGACGTCTAATGCTCCTCACACATCTCCTAGAGAGAGGATGGGTCCTCTGCTTGGTGTTCTTGGCAGTCTTGCCAAGAAGGTTCAGTGGACTGTGAGTCCTCGGGTTTATCTCTGGGCTGTCCCATTGCATTGGTCTACCTTTGTCCCCATTTCAGATCATTTTAATTGACAGACTTGAAAGCAAGAACTATGGTACCCTCACCTTTGTTTTCCGCCACAAGATTGTTTTGGAGTCTTAATTGGTTCCCCATGAATTTCACGTAGTGACTTTTCTTTTTCAGTTAAAAAAGTGCAATGAGGATTTTGACAGAGGTATCTTAATAGGACCTTTTAGCATCTACTGTGAGGCTGTCTCTGTCTTGCTACTTCTTGAGAGTGCTAACACAGAGCAAACGTGGTAACATTGTCTGGCTTTGTAATGATTTGACAAAACAAAGCTCAAATCATGTGCTGTCGCAACTATTAATTGTTCTACACATGTTACTGGGTAGGCTTTCTACACTCAGGTCTATGTTTATGGTACTTTTATTCATTACTACACTTAAAACCTTTCTGTGTAGAATACACTCATGTGCTCTGGGTAAAGAGATCTAGTTCCCGGCTAAAAAGGTAGCCACTGTTGCAGTGGGATTCAGTAAGTGACCCATTCTTCCTAACACGAAGTACCAAATTTTTTATGAATCCAAATGGTATCTGCCCTTTCAACATGAGAACAAAGATGAGATCACCAACATGTAATAGGGAAAGACAGCAAGGTGCACAGTGTGGCAGGATCTCATCCAGAGTAGGTCTGCAGCTCTCAACCACCTCCCAACATTGGAGAAAGGAGATGCAGAAAGCCACACAATCCTGGCTCATGTTTATGAAATGGTACAGGAGGAGGAGGTGTCCCTACTTCCAGGGCAGACACCATGGCACCTGACAGGAATGGTCTCTAAACCAGTCAATGAACTGGGTAACTACAACCTGGGATTCCTGAGGTATCCCAGACAGCTCTGAGTATCAGAGCCACAACTAACAATAGCAATTCTGTGGTGGGTGACAACTTCCTCAGAAACAGCAAGCACGTTTTGTTTAGAGCCAGTGTTGTCTAGAATCTCGTGGTATCGTAACCTTTAAATAAATCACAACAGCTAGGCCTCAGGAAGGTGGTTCATAGCTTTAGTGGGTTTTGTCACCTGCTTTGAGGGTTTCCTAGAACTCAGCACCCCAGGGTGGGGGTGGGGGTCGCCTCCAATGTAAAGCCATGACAAGTGAATGACAAGGAGCACTATTAACCTTGTCAGCCCTAGCAGTGGCGGCAGCTACCATGTGAGAGCCTGCGATGAAAATAGCCTACTTGGTCAAAACCATTCCCACACTGGGATTTATCTGCTGAACATTCCCACGCAGGCAGACGAGAAACTCAAGCTGGGGAGAGGCTTAGCAAGTAGCCAGAGGTCGGGATGGAAATAGAAAGGGGGAGAACCAAGATTTACACCAACGTCCGAGCCTCACAAGGTCATAGCTTCATCATTGTCTTCAGAGGTAACGGAATTTCTTTAAAATAACCGTTAAACTATAATAACGGTGGAAAATTTCAAATATTATTTTACCACCACACTCCCCTCTACCTCTCCCCCAAAAAAACAACCAGGGGCTGGAGAGACGGCTCAGAGATTTAGAACATTACTAAGGAACAGGATTCAGTTCACAGAACCTACATGGCAGCTCACAACTGTAACTCCAGATCCAGGGATCTGACAACATTCTTTGACCTTCCAGGGCACTAAGTGCACTGATGTACATTCGGGCAAAACACGCATTAAAAAAAAATTTACAACATTAAATACAGTACATAAAATAATTTATAAACAAACAAACAAAATGCAAGATTGACCAGAGTATGGCCGGTGCTTTTATATTGTGGATCATATCAGAAACCAGTATGACGCTTTTTTGAAAATAGTATGATTATTCGAGCAACTATAAAATGCATGTGCTTTAGTTTTTTTTTAATTCCACTTTGAAGTATCTGTCACAAGAAAACTCCCCCAAATGTTGACAGAGATGATCGTAAAAACAGTTCATAATGTGATCACTATGAATGTGATAGAGAAACAACTCAAATATCCAACAGGTTCATTGTTATCACACTTATACCGGGCGACCCATTAAACCCGATTACAAGTAGTTTTGCTTCAAAAGCCACACAGGGCAAGGATCTCTCATTAGGCTCAACTCCAGGCCAGTCTTGAGTTGTGAAACTAACTATCCACCATGCTTATAGCTGGGGGGGAACCCACATCTCACGGTTGAATTCTGTACTGACACCGTGAGATTCTCTATAACAGCTACTTCACATGCTGTAACACAGCCTTTCTTCTTTCTGGATTTCTATTCTGATGTGTAACAGGCTGAGAAGCCATGTGACTGTACTCTCATTGCAAAAAAAAAAAAAATAATAATGAGAGCCTATGCATGGCTGACTGCACACAGTCCTGCAAGTCATACCTAGAAACTTTGATGAGTACATTTTATAAGATCACTAGATCCTTAAAAAGAAGTATTAGACTCTCAATGTAGTTGAATGCCTTTAAGTTATAGGCTGCCTTAGAAATTTATGTCCAACCAAGAGTGTGCATAGCAGGTAAGCCAGAAACAGAAAGCTGTTGGGTTAGTGCAATGAGTTAAAAAATTATATCTATAAAGACTATTTTACAATTGAAGGTGATCCAATTTAAAACAACATTTATATTTGGAGAAGTGACCAGTTTTATTTCACATGAACCATATTTAAAAGAGTCACTTGAAGCTCAATTGATCTGTATAATAAAATGTCATCGTCTGTGAGTCGTCAATTCATGCTCCCCAAACGCCCATGTCATGAGCAGTTAGTTACACCTTAAGGCCTGGATTTTGACTTAGAACTACACCAGTAAAAGACATTACAAATAAATTTCAATAGTTAATCATTCAATATGTTTAATCAAATGGAAATATTTTTGTTGTATTCCTAAAATGGTCACTTACCTGAATTAAAAGCTGTAAACAGACTCTTCCTTGAAGGACCTAGAGCGGGACAGAAACATAAACACGTGCTTTATTGGAAATTCTACGGAAATCTCTAGCTATTGTGTAAATAACAGTGATTTCATTTTCAAAAAGCCCTCCTTTTGGAAACCTCTAAATTTTAGGTTCCAGCTATCCACTGAGAAAATTCCAAGATGCAAATAACTTGACCAAGTATACTTTTTCAAGTATAGAAAATGTAGTATCTAATTTGTTAGTAATAAAAATGATATGAATTAATCCTCAAAAGCACAGTATCAATTTTAAAAGGACAAAGCGTGGTATATTCTGTAGTCAAGGACAATTAAAGTTCATTTAAATTTTAACTAATTTATCGTTTATCCTAGTGTCTGAATCCAGGGTCCACAGATTGGGAGAGCACTCCACCATGGAACTACATTCCAGCTAAAAGAAGGCCCACACCTTAGCTCTGAGCTTGTGCTTTCTCTGTTCTACTGCACTCCGGAAACAGGCTATACTTTTTGATAGAGGAATCATGGTATGTGCCTTCCCAAGGGCCTGACTTCTATTCAGCTGTGAAGAAGAATACACTGGAGATGTTTCTCCAAACTGACGCAGTACAAAATGCAGCCAGAAACCCTACAGGTAGACACTCGGAGAGCTATAAACCACTCGGAGAGCTACAAGCGCCCAAGCTTGACATCAAATACTCATCAAGTGACTAATAGTCTGTAGACGACTGGTTGGAACTGCCAGAGTCCGTCTGTGGAATTTTAAAGAGAAGATCATCTCCCTTTTAAAAGTATGTGGCCATCATACATGGACCTCCATGAGATGCACATAGATTCAACTGTAGGGTTTTCAGGAGATTGGCATGTGCTGTTTTGCAGTCATCAGTGGGGTCTCTAACTCTGAAAATCACTTCAGGATCAAAGCTCCATGAATGGAGTTTATTTTTAGTTACTGTTGGGGATAGTGTGGGTTTTTTTTTAAAAAAAATCATGATTAAAAAACAGTTTCAGATATTACTGCCATCGTAGCAGGGGACGATCTGATGCCTCAGAACCTGACGGCACGGTAAATAATCTACCCACAAACAGGGCTTGCCCTCCCTGGTTTTTCTTTTTTTTTTTTCTCCTTCAACCCAGTAGAAAGAAAAAGCGCCAATGTAGACTAGGTCATCAGTCTCAAGTTACCACGTGATCTTTTTACATTTATGCCAACGCCCATCCATACAAAAGAGAGAGAACACAGAGGGGAAGGCTGTGGTGGCTGGTAGCTGCTTTTCTAATTTTCTGATACAAAAATGGGTCTCAGTCGTTCTTTCAGAAAAGCCAGCTTTCAAGGACCTATGAGCAGAGCTTTGCCACTCTTGGCTGTGACAAGGCTTTGTGAACACGCTGCAGGCCAAGTATATGCTACACACTGCCCGTCCTCTTAGCAGCCACAGCAATTGCCAGGCAAAGGACACAGAAGGATCAGACACAAACGGCTGAGAGCGAAGCAGAGCAAGACCGTGGTTTTGAACAAGGCAAGCAGGTAACAGGCGTGAACCACGGGCACGGAGAGGAAATAAGCCATGGTCCTTGTTTTTCTCTCTCATCCTAGAAGGACTGAACACTAGATTTACCGGTTAGTGTCCCCGGACATCTCTGCTCTACCTACCTGCTTTTTCTGAGATTTGTTTTATTTCTTATTTATGTGATGCGTGTTTTGCCTGCATGCATGTCTGTGTGCATGTGTGTGTGGTGCCTGTGCAGCCCAGCAGAAAGAACATCGGATCCCCTGCATCTAGAATTACAGCTGGTTGTTAGCCACTGTATGAGCGCTGGGAATTGAACCTGAGTCCTTTGCAAGACCAGCCAGTGTTCTTAACCACTGAGTCATCTCTCTAGCCCCTACCTGCTGACTTTTACTAGTGGACTCCATCTATCTATAGTGGACTCTATTTACCTATAGAATTTGGAGACACTTGGGGAACAAGAACATCTCATTGTTAACATTTATTTTATTTTCTTACTCACCTGGTGTTTAAATAAATCATTGTTAAATGCACCATAAACGTACTTGTCAAGCTGTACCCTCCTAAAAGCCAAGGAGTGTAAACTTATTTCCTTCTAATCACAATGAAGACAATACCTTTTGGAGAAGTTTTGAGCAAGTGTGCATGAGTTCTGGGTACCAAAGGCTTCAGATATAAGGGTCCTGACCCATTCTGAAACGCTTGTTTTGGAGGTTTCTCTTCATATTTGTTGATGGCAGCATTGCTACCTGTAACAAAATGGAAAAGTACATCTTATTTAGTATGAAACTACAATAGCAGTCCACAGTATTTGTTCCAAAGAGTCTACAATTTGATAACAATTACTGAGTATCAAGAATGCAGAGGCAGTTTCTGGTCTCAAGTAAGCAAAATAAATGTTACCAGAATGCAAAAGCATAAAAAAAATACATTTTGTTTCTCGGCATAGTCCAAAATTTATGCACATTTCCAACTTGACCTTTATCCCAGAGAGGTGGAAGATAAATGACCACTCGTGCTGTGTAACAAACATTCCCAGTACTTCTTAGGTAAGCATTCCCCATGAGGAAGACAATACAGACTGTAAGCAGCCGATGCTAATGAAGTTAAAAAAAATAATGAAAAACAATCAGAAAAAAATCCTCAGTGGCTTTAAGAATAAGATCTTGTCTCCAGAGAAGCTGTATTTTGAAACTAGATGGCCAGCATCCACTGTTACAAACCTCAAACTGAAAAAATATAAAATATTTTTTCTCGCCTCAGTCATGGAAACCACCCAGAAGAAAACACAAAATTTCCTAAAAATACTAAAGAACCTGACCTATTTTCTCTAAGACACTGTCAAACACAATAATTCTAGGCATCCACTTCTATCCTACCATGTAATAAATAAGTCATAGTTTCCGTCTGGTATAGAATGTTCCACATGAATTACGTACCATACTGGTTCAGAAGCCATCCCTGTATCATTTTGATTTTAGTAAACGCACTGTGAAGCAAGAGTGTAAATTACCAACTTCATACATTTCTCTTGCTCCCAAATTACCAATGTAAACACTAAATGTCACTAGGTTAGATGACCTCAGTCCCCACCAACAATGTCCACACATGTACATGCTCTCTTGGTCCTCATTCAGCATCTATGCACTGAGCCATCTGTTAACTCCCCTTAAAACCCGGACAACATTCCTAAAATTAGATCAACACAAATCCACCCTCCTGCCGGCAAGCTTCTGCCTAGTTTCGTGTCCTGATTTCCAATTCTCACCTTGCTTAGAACTTAGGGAGTAGGCTTGCCAAACTTAGCAGGATGTTAGTGGACGTGGCGGTCTCACATTCGACATCATGGGAGACAACAGCACCAACCTTTCAGAGCATGGATTTTAAGACATTCATGAGATATGGGCATTGGATTTCAGTAGGTGCTTAACTGACGTGAATCCAGTCCAAGGGAGTTCCTTTTGTTATAACAGTTGGAGTTCAGACTTGCTTCTCTTGAAGCAACCTTTGTTATACTCAGCAGCAGGTTAAGTCACTTGTTCTAATTTTGAAAAATTAAATCCAGTTCATTTTAAGAACAGGATATAAGATTGCCCATAACTCTGGATGCACGCTTCCCTTTTCTGAGCCTTAGTCACAAAGGACTCTCGCTTATAAAGAACTTAGTGAGAGAATTTCTCACTGACGCAAAGGAGACCCCAGCTACTGGTCTCTTACAACAGTAGACACTGGCCTGGAAAGAATCTACCCGAGTGGTTCTCTAAAATCCATATTTTCATATCCCCAGCCCAGGGAACATTGCAAGCAGAATAGGAAGCAGAAAGACCGGACATGAAGAGAGAGAGAGAGAGAGAGAGAGAGAGAGAGAGAGAGAGAGAGAGAGAGAGAGAGAGAGAGAGAGAATATGAGAGAGAGAGAGAGAGAATGCGTTGAGTATTTCTGCTTAGAAAAATCAAAGCAGAAGAAGACATTTCCCTGCTCCCAAAAGCTTCCTTCTCCTCGGTGTCAGCATTGGCTTGTGAACTTGCATCCCTTACTATATTCTGGCATCTAGTTAAATGAGTTTTTGTTTTATTAAACTCTGTGTATCTGCACAGAAACAAAACTCTACTCATTTCTGGAACTCTTTGTAAGTTAGCTTAACATTCTGCCCTGATTATCTGCCTACCTGGCTTAAAATCAAATCATTGAAGTCTAAAGTTCAAAAGCAAAAATCAGTCAACTTTACAACTACAAGAACATCTCAAATATCCCACATAGAGATACTAAAAGAGAACAAACAAGACTAATAGTTATCTCAGTATTTCCTCAAGAAATAATCCATTCAGAAGGGTGTGTGCTCTAACATGCCTTATGACATGGAGACAGCACTTTACACTGCCCACCTCTCTCTATTTTTTGCCTGCGTCAGACATCACTAGTCAAAAAACCTTTTCCTCTGAACCTGGAGGAAGCCTGAGAAATAAATGATTGGTTCTTATCAACTACCTAGTGTTGATAGATATGACCATACTCACTAACCGTTTTTGCCACAAGATAAACAAAACTGAGGATCAGGAAGATTCATCCTTCTTGCCCACTCAGTCGGTTGGGCAAACGGAAGTGTCTTCCTTCCAAATGACGAGGAGGCATCACGGTACTGTGGTAAAGAAAGGGAGTCAGAGGCATACAGCTGGGAGGATGCTGAACATGGTCCAGGTCTCCCTTCCCGTTCATCAGATTGAAGAACTAATGCTAAGAGATGACTGTCCAACTCACTGTGAGTTAATAGAAACCAGAACAAGCCCCAGGTGAGTAGTCCTTTCCTATAGATCACTTCCCGTCAGCCAGGCTGCCACCAAGTGCAAGAGAGGATGGTCCATTTCTCTATTTAGTGTTTCAGCTCTCCTATTGTTGATAGGGTGCAAACAGCTTAGGTTTGCATCTCTGCCATTGCCCCACACCATCTGTCTCTCAAAAATAAACATGCTTTTGTGGCCAAAGAAAAAGAGGAAGGAAATCTCTAGTCTTCACAGTCCTGCTAGTGTGGCAAGATGACTTTCTCAAGGCCTGCTTCCAAATTGCACACTGATCTGTCTCATTAGGTATAGAAAACCACTGCACAAATCTTTAACTAATATACAAAGAAGTTATTTTAACTTTAATTTTTCTTATGTACTCATTAAAAAATAAAACCTACTAAACCCTCAGATCCAAAAAAAAAAAAAATTGCCTTATGCATCGTCTTTTAACCAACTTACAACTCAGTAACATTGTTTCTAAGGATCCCCAGGTGCCAAGGACCAGATTCCAATTTCCCAACAGCACTATGCTATGAAGTTCTTAATTGACACCAATAACAATATGATATCACAAAGCAAAAGAAGGGAAAAGAGGCAAGCATCGCTTCTCAAAGAGACTCAGTGTTGAAGGTGGTCAGAGTCATGATATCTTAGCTAAAGAGTAAGTTATTTCCTAATGTGAAACAGCAGCAGAATGATTTTGGCTCAAAATTATTTTTCTTCATATTTTAAGGTAGTCTTTAAAAAACACATACACATTTAATACTTTTATGTGAGTCATATATTAATTATAACTGAAGACAATAAAAATTCTGATCCTTTCATTTAAATGAATTTAAATTTAAGGAATTATTTTTTACATCTGCCAGTCACACACTCAAAACTTAGTATTTAATCAGAAATTAAATCATCAAACAGTCTTTTAATCAGAAATTAAACCATCAGATGGCCTTTGGTAATAGGATGACATCATACCGAGTACACCGATAAGCTGAATTATAATGTGTTTAAGCCCCCAAACACAGAAAACACACAATAAAATTTGTTCCCAACAGATCCACTTGCATCTTAAATATATACAAACACAACCACGAACCACCACAGTCAACATCAATTACAAGCAACAGCAAAGCTAATATCCAAGAGGTCCTAAAAAAAATCAATTTATTTAATAAAAAAATTTAAGCATGCTTACAACGCAAAGAATCAAATGAGAAACCGTCGACCTACTTCTTTTCCTAGTAAGCTTGGCTAACAAAGGGATAATACAAAGGCTGTAGGATCCCACGACCAGCAATGCCAACAAGGTAGCATCGTACTGCCTTTCTGAGCCAGCCGGGGGTGTGAGTGTAGAGTTGATAAAGATCTTTGAAGAAATCTCAGTTTCTGTACAACTGCGAAATCCTCCTGGTATAGTCATTTAAGAAGGAACAAAGCAAGCTCAGGCAGGAAAAACTGCAGCCATGTTCACGCTCGCATCCCTCATGCTTGCTCCCAGTCAATTAGAATGGGGAGGGGGAGAACGGTAAGCTGCCAGGCACTACACGGAACAGATTTAAACCGGCTGCAAACCGGACTAAGAAAGACTCACTGATGTGTATGCATGCTTAATTGGTAAGAGGGACACACGGCCACTTAGACAGGCTCTGTGGGTACACGGTAAACCCTTTTGTTAACAGACAAAAAGGAAGGACAAAGGCATTTCGAAACCTCCTGGGCAGGGTCAGATAGGCTACTGGAGCAGTGGTCAGATCAACATGGCTGTTCGATCGAAAACCCAGGGTATGATATTATGGAATGTGTCTGTTCCCAGTGTCACAAAGTCCATCATTACGGCTTTCAAGGTTTACTGGTGATTCTCTCGGGCGGTTTGCTTTTATTTATTTTAAATTTACACAATAGGAGTCCAGATGGGAGATGAATTCAGGATAATAACAAATGCAAGTCATATTTTCATATTCACAGAGAATTACTTGTTAGCGTAAACCCTCTGGGGTTTCCCCCAGCCCTTTAAATTCCAAACAATAAATACATACAAAAAATAATAACCCTCTTTAATTTTAAGTAACATAGTCTAATATTTGTCACAGCTACTTATGTGCCTATGAGACCAGGCACTGCATTCAGAGACCTGCTTGAAATGAGTCTTTTGTCATTATCTCAATGCCTATTGTCTATAATCTATTCTGTCACATAATTGCTGTGTGACTTTGAACAGGTAAAGTCTCTGAGTCTTGGTTAAGTCTCCTAAAAGTCCAAGGTAATAACCAAGGTATTGAGGCAGAGGCAGTGGAGTAGTGGATAGTGTACATGTATGGTAGCCAGATTGCTGTTCTGCACCCAAAGAGTTTGACAACTCTGACCCCACCCATTTTTGACACACACAAACACACACACACATGCACACGTACACACAGACGTGGATTTATCTCACATTTCCAACTCTTCCTCACAAATATACAACCTGT